ATATATATATATATATATATATATACACCGGTGCGTGACCGAGGTCCGTATAATGCGTTACAAAACATGCAACCTTACGTGGGCGCAGCATACGATATCGTATTGTACTACGTATGGCGAGAGCCGATAGCGATCAACGCGCGCGCAAAAGCCATTCTTCGGGAACCGCATTGCGCCATTGATTGTACCCTAGAGGGTCTAGAGCGTAGGGTGTACGCCGCGATGTGCGCGCCCGGCAGGTGAACGCGTTCTCCAGAAACGGGATTTCGTTATGTCTGTGTGTGAGAAAATGTGCGCACGCGGGCACTTCCTCTCGATTCGACGATTTACGTACGTCGGGGATAAAGATCGGCCGCTTACGGCGGCGCGGCGGGCCCGCCGCCGCTGTACCGCGCGTCCGCGGGACGCTGTTACGCGTTCGGCAAACAATAGCGTGCAATTGAGCCGTGTGCGCAGTATTTTCAAAACAGGAAGCCGACTCTGCCTGCCGAGCCGTAAAAATTCACGTTGATCACGAACACCTATTCGTTAATAGTTATTAGGATGTCGGCCTCTACTGCGTATGAATTATTGCGCGACCGAGGGAGAGGAGATGGGGAAAGAGGAGCACTTAATTGAATTAGATTTTCGCCTGATTTGAGAAGGATGTAATTAAATGGACAATAAAACGAATAATTTGAAATGCGTACTTAATCAAAATTAGAGTAACGTATCTGTTCGCGAAATTAAATCCATTAAATCATTAATCTATTTATTAATTAGTGAAGTTTGCATGAATTGCGCGATTAAGAGATCCGCTCTTACCGCGGATTTCATGTCAGTTTCAATCCCGCCCGAGTCTTCAATAATCATTATGAAACTCCCGCGCCTATGGATACGGTCAAGGCTATGGTGGACGGCCAAGGTACTTCAAACTGGGCCAAACATAAGTCTGATGTCACCGAGACGTGTCACATAATTAAGAGCGACTGTACGTGACTGTTATAAAAATTCATCTAATTACGTTCGTTGAGAGTCTCGTGATCTTCAGGCCACTCAATGTCACCGCATTTACAACGCGGGAACAAGAAAAAGAGCAAATTAACAACGGATAAAGGCCAAAAAAAGAAAAATAAATTAAAAAGAGACGCAAACCTTAATTCTGCATTTTACAATTAATTTTAACGAGAAAGAAAGAGCCATTTGTTAGTTTAACGAAACGCGTTTCAAATTCTCACTTCGTCACACGAAATACCGTCAACTACAATGCCGTTAACTGTTAATAACGAAAAGCGGTAAATATACTTGCAAACTATTGCGCCTTTGTCTTTTTAACATTCTCGCATTTTATTGTTAATTTTATTAACATTTTTCTCATTTGTCGATCTGTTAATAGAGTTTCGCAGATAAGAAGGAATGGGATACGGCACGGAAATGGATGGCTGCGGACGTTTTATGAAATATTCCCTGTTCTTCACGAACTTCGTCATCTTCGTAAGTCCTAGTCCCTTTGCCGAAGATATAATATATTTGCAGCGCACTGATATAGATAATCGAATTTACTATTGATTTATGTCTCCAGATCGGCGGGATTGTCGTAACCGGCTTGGGCGTGTGGGCCTTGATTGACAAAGTACCATGGATAGGCGAGCTCGTGGGGAACGATCTGTTGACTGGCGCAGTTTACGTTTTACTGGTTGGCGGCATCGTCGTGGCGTTTATCGCCTTCTTCGGGTGCGTCGGTGCATCGCGGGAAGTCAAGTGTATGCTCTTGACAGTAAGTACTGATCTATTTTCGAACCGAGAAGAACACATCTCGACCGACGATCTCGATTTCCAGCGTTCACGTCATTTGGTGCGCTGAAGAACGAATTTTAATTCCGCTCTCCGCGAAAGAGAAGCTTATCTTGAATTGGTTGAACATTGAGATTTTATTGTTAGTTTCGAAGCCCGTCAAGCCCGCTGAAGCTTATTAAGATAAAGAATATTGAAAACTCGGCCGATTAATAAAATATTGTTTTTTTTCCTCTTTTCCAGTACTTCATAATCGTATTCCTGCTGTTCGTGACTATGCTCATCGGCGGCGTCCTGGGTTACGTTTTCCGCGAGAAACTGCTGAGCACGGTCGATAGAGAGATGAGGAGTTCGATCCGGCTTTATGATCATCGTAAATCCATTCGCGAGGCCTGGGACACCACGCAGACGACGGTAAATAATTTGCGCGCGCGCGCGCGCACATACACGCGTTACGTAAATAAAGGTTAATTTTATCAGACGATCAAACTCGAGGCACAGCACGATTCCAAGCGCGCTTTATCCTCCTTGTATTCCAATTATTGTTCGGAACTCCGAACGAAGCTCTAATTCAATTCTCGACTTTAGCTCCACTGCTGCGGCGTTACCAGCTGGCGAGACTGGGGAAGCTACGGCCTCAACGTGCCAGAGAGCTGCTGTCGAGAAATTGCACCTGGCCAGGTAAAAATCAATTATCTTTTAACGCGTCGCTCCTTGAAATAGTTTGTCAGCCGATTTTGTCTGCATTTAATAACAGCAATTTGTTTACCTCCCAAAAAAATCCTTACATGAAAAATTTTTACAAAAAATCTTACATGAAGCATATTCCTCTATAACACGTATTCATCTATAAAAAATGTGAATGATCAAGAATTATGTGATATTCGTCTACATTTTATAGAGTATTTTCTTGAAACCGAATATCAAAGGAAAATCCTTTAGTCTTTAGAGAGTACTGCTAAAGAATAGAATATTTTTTTGGGTGCTTTAATAATGCTCGCTTTAATCAAAGTCAATTTAATTTAATCCAAAGGTGAGATTCCGACTTAGCTTTTACAAAAAATGAAGTTTTCCTTATTGTCAGTCAAATCCGATGACGACTTTTCGGAAAACGCATTAGAGATTCGCGATTGCAACTTGACGCGCGAATGATTATTTGCGGCCTAAGCGATTCTTCGCGCAACTCACCGCTCCCCCCCGCTGCGAGCACCGTCAATTTGGCCGCTATTACTTAATCGACCGAGTCCTAACCGCCCCGTATCTTGCGCCTCTCACACTTTCACTCCTCCGATCGGCTTTCTCGGCGAGAGAGGAGAACCGTCGTTTCTCATGGTCGTCTCGTGATTCTGCTCGCAGAGATTCCAATGCAACGCCGGCCCGGACACGGTAAATCCCTCCAACGCTTACATGGAGGGTTGCATCAACGGTACGCGAATCTACATGCAGCGACACGCGGCCATTATGGGTGGTGCTGGTATTGCAGTCGCATGTCTCATGGTAAGCTTAGTGCAGTTTGCATCTTTTATGGTACTCTACTCGGTGAAAATTAAAGCCTCGACGCGCCATAAAGTCTACACCGAGCACCAAGAACAAGTATTTCCTTTACGATCGAATTAATTTTAAAAATTTTCGCACCAGGTTCTTTTTTCCTTTCTTAGGCGACCGGTTGTTCCGCCATCCGATAAACAGCGTGGTAATTTATCAAATGGATAAATGTTTGTAGAACCAATAGCGTTCGCTTTATATAGACATTCCTCCATTAGACAAATTGCCACATAGTTTATCCGAAAGCGGCATAACCGGCTTTTGAAGTCGTATTGCGATTAGTGGTCTTTAAAAAGCTCGCGTTTTTAAGTGTGCGTTTAAGCAAACACTACTCTTCCGTCTTCTTCTATCCCTCATTATTTATTTAACAAATAACATCGATTTAATTATTGCAGTTCTTCGGAATGATATTCTCCTGCGCACTCTTTAAGATGATAGAATGACAGCAGGACAACAGTATAGTCTGAGGCGGTTCCATGGTCTTCGTAAGAAGGAAATGATGAGTCTTCGAAATCCTCAGAGGATTCGCACCACCAACTTTACCAATCAACGAAATTACTTGTCGCCATATAAACACAGTTACATACAATTGATTACATCGCGATAATCAAAAACACGAATCTCCATCCGGATTGTACAGATCCCTCTGATTTGTTACACATATATATAGCATTACGCGTCACGATTACCATTTACATTTTGTATGTAATTTATATTGTTTAAGATATATATTTTCATTTAGTTGCATATGTATCACTTATAGTATATATGTTAGTGAATCATACATGTACTTTACATATATTCTGTGCCGTAATAAACACAACATATGTATATAATATTGTGCATCTATACAATCCTTTTACTAATTACTCTTGATCGATATAAAAAAATATAATAATAGATGTTCGATTATTAATTATTAAATGTGAAAGTGTAACAATTAATAATCAAATAAAATGTAACAATAATTTTATAATTTATAATAGTTCTTTCTTTTTATACCTCTCTTATAATTGCGTCGTGTTTATTACAGAGAAAAATTATGTTATATTAATAGCATTAGATCTAATTAGAAATAATCTTGATAAAACAAATATTTGTTGTTATTAAAACAAGAGTATGACGTATGGATTTAACAAGTTTCTAATTAGACTAATCCTATCAACACATTATTTCTTTCCGTAAGATTCTCATTATCAAAAAATATTTAACTTCCATATTTTGCCTATGTCTATTAATTCAATAATTTATAATCATATATTATACACAAGGGTATTCACAACGACTATGCTTTAATCGCATACTCTAAAAATTAATTATTCTACCGAGCTCTTTGTATCGAATTTTAATAGACCGTATATATATATATATATATATATATACGTATATATATAAATATATATACATGGGCGTATCCAAGGAAGGAGAAGGGGAATTTGGAGAGTTCAAACCTCTCCCCAAAATATCGAATAAAACAATTCATTAAAAAATTGCTATTAATGCGTTAATTTAACAGGATTAATAAGGATAAATTTCCGCCCCCCTTCCCGAAAAAAATCCTGGATATGCATATGATGGTATGTAATAAAAATAAATAAAATTGTTCTTATTTGATCATCTTTTCAAAGTTTTTACTATAAAACGCATTGATAATACACAGTAATTTAGTAATAAATAAATGATTAATTAGATTAATCCACAGCAGAAAGTTAAACGGTTCGTCAAACGTCAAAGATTCTGCTGCAGGAGGGAACGAATCCCAGATCTTTCAGACTGCTTTCAATAGAGGTCATTTTGGCAGCGAATCAACGATAATCACCTCTTTTCTGCTTAATGCAGAATTGTTACGCGAGATATAAATTCACAGAAGTATGTTCTTCCATTATTAAAAAGTATATTTCTTTTATTGGAAAATAAATGAATAGAACGATTTTTATATGGAAAGGTGGTTACAAATAGATATATTTAAGAAGAATAAAATACATGCACTTTGTTGTAGCTTGTTACATGTGCGGGTACAAATAATTCTCGGGTACCAACTGTTCGAGACAAATCAAAGCCGATAAGAGAAAAATATTGAAAAGAAATAAATCAAATGTTTAATAATTATTAAACATTAATTATTAATTTTATTAATAAAATTTGTCGATCTTTTAATTGTATCTGTTACGTTCAAAAATGCATTTAGAAAATATTATCTAAATGTTATACGTGGCATTTATATAATTAAAATTATCAATATTCGACTGATATCGGGGTACCCATTCAATTTGTCTCGAATTTGTTATGTGCCCTTGCCCGCACATTTTTAATTATGTTCACCGTAACAGAAATAAAAAAATACATGTCACTTTTGTAAATTATACAAAGCAGACTGTACGAAGTTGATCTTTATTTTTCGAATAAGATGTCTCTATTTATGCATGTATTTTACTTAATTAAAAATTTTAAACTAATTAAAACATTAATTTTAATATAGAATGACAGCATCCCCAGTAGAAACAGCTTCTGAAAAGAAAACAAAGATTAGAAAATACAAATGCGAAATATATACATTCGTAACCACAGCAAAAGTAAGCGAACTGAACTTGTAAGTTGAACTTACTTAGTCAATTAATATTATCTAATCGTGCTATTCATATTCACGCTACTATTAATTATAATCATCATTAAAATAAAGCTGATACTACTATTAGTGCTAATAGAAGAACATGTAATAAAAGAAAGAAGGAAATCTTTTAGAATACATATTGTTTTAATTTTAATTTACTTAGCGGGTCATCTGTATGAATGGTATAAGTCATCATCGATTTAGAGCCAAAATGACAGCTTCCGGGAACAGTCGGGAAAATCAGGAATTAATTCCAGCCCTGCAACTGGAACTTCAAACTTTCAACGAGACGTCCGAACTAGGCATCGTGAATGGACCTCGTGGGGACCGACAAGAAATAACTCTCTACTATGAAGGTTATTACGACTCTCCGGTACGAACGCGCGCGCCCACCTGACGAGAGTGACAGCGATAAGAGACAGCGGATCGCAGATCCTCGAGAACGCGATTTTAATCAAATTATATTAAAATCGGGCGACACACTTTGTACGGCATTCCCGAAAGTGAGGCGCAACAAACTGTTTATAATCGGCGGCGATTTTACCACACGGAAAGAACGATTTTACTGGAAGGTCTAAAAATTTTGCTGGATACAGATCTGAAAATAATTTTGTTGAAAGGTCAAACTGATTGTTAGAATATCAAAACGTTTTACAGCAGTGCTCAACATTTTTGAGTTTCTAACAAAACCATTTTAATGGACCTACAAAATTATTTTTAGATCTATATCCAGCCAAACTTTTAAACCTTTTAGCAAAATTGTTTCTTTCGTGCACATAAGAGCCATTGAACGACTCGTGGCAATGCTGTGTTCGATTACGCTTAATTCCCCATCGTTGGGTTCCCTGGTGAAAATAAAATTCGGAGCGTAAGTCGAACGTAAGGGAAGAAGTGTAAACGAAAATTCTAGGAAGCGAAAATTGGTACAGCGAAATGTAAAGAAAGCGTTAACGCGACAACTAGAAGTGTCGTGTACACTTCTATCACTTTCCCCTTACATTCGACCCTTACATTATACGCTTCAATTTTCATTTTCATCAGAGTTTTTACGCCCTCGGGGTACTGAGCAACTCCCATACTTTGTCACATAAGAGCCATTGAGCGACTCGTGGCGCTACTACGTTGAAAAAAGTGCAATAGGTACCGATTAGGTTCCCATTTAAATTTTCAAATCTTCAAGCTAATAAGCCATCTCACCACGTCAAGATCGTACCCGAGGGGGGGAATGCGGAGGATGATTACCATCGGCGAAAAGTCGATAATGATAGTTATACATTCCAAAAATAAATACCGAGTTCCGTATGTCAGCCCCTCCGCCGTCGATATAAAATATTTGACATAATAAAATAAGTGTCAAATATTTTCTTCGACGTACAAATTAATTACGACAATCCATTAAACAGTTTGCGCCGTTATTTGTTCATTCGGGTATCGACATAAAAATGCAACGTACACCATAATTAAAATATTATTATGTATTATATGTAGATGCGCGTACGTTGATCACCCAAATACTACGATCGCGCAAAGTTTTCCGTCAAGCATTGTCAGTATCGAATACTACGATCGCATGAAACCTTCGACAGCACTACCAATGTTGAACGCGAATTTCTAGTGTAAAATATAATACGTGAAATATTATTAATAAGCAAAAAATAATTTTCGCTTATAAACGTTCGAACGAAATAATAACTTATGTATAAGTCCTATTTCTAATCCGTAATCGTGCGTCAATTTCATTAAGGTGATAAATCTGTGAAATTTTATATTTTATTCGTAATGTATGTTCTCACTTTGATATATAGGTACATATATCGTATACGTATTGTATAAATACATATAAGAGAAGTTTCTTACACCATTTTATTACACTATTTTATTGGAAACCTATTGGAGATAAATCACATTAACGCGACGCTATATCGATTGTTTAAAAAATAGCATTCGGGCAAAGAGAATAAATAAAGATTCGGCTGGAAGAACTAATGAGCAAGAACAGATTTGGCTTTCAAATTAAAATAAATATGTTTAAAGATTTTACTTAAGAAAAACATATTGATTATAATTTTTATAATACAGTAAAAATGTAAAAAGTCCAAGAGATATAAATCCAATCTTAAAAAATGTATATTTGGGAAGAGGAAAAATAAGATAATATAGTTATTAATTAATAAGTATTAATTAATCTTTCTCTCTCATTTCGAATTAATATTATTAATATTCCTAAAGTATCACGTGACTCTACGGGGTAACGAATGGCTCAGTACGCGAGCACGTTGATTCATAATCGGCGGTCTCGAGTTCGATCACTCACCCCACATACGCCTCGATTTTACGAGGATTATTAGAAATGTGACTACATACCATTCCTTTCTATACTATGATTAATTATAATATCTTGATTGTCATTTTGAAATTCAAATATATGATGTAAAATTAGTATGAGTTATAGATTTGTTACATTGTGGAAGAGTCTTTAGAATGCTCTTCTTTTCTTTTCAATTTTTTAAATTTATTTGTGCTAATCTTTTCTTTTGTTAAATAGTTCTTATATGTAAATATTAATTGATTTTTATTTCACTTATGTATACTACGTAAATGATCTAATTGTCATCGTCATATAGGATGTGAATTACCATAAAGACTTAAAAAAAATACTTATAATTTTTATAACCTTACTTTTCTTTTTCATGCAGAAGCTTCAGTGCGGAGCTTTTTCTGCCAGAATAATCAAATATATGATGATCGATAAAAAAAAATATGGTTTCCAGGATTAAATATCTATTTTATTAGCTCATCCATCTTAATATATTTTAAGGTAATAAATCTGTAAAATTTTATATTTTATTCGTAACGTATGTTCTCACTTTGATATTGTATATATACATATATCGTGTATATATTGTATAAATACATATAAGAAAAGTTTCTTACACCAAACTATTTTATATTAGACTTTTTTACATCTTAGATTTCTTAGACTTTTTTACTCTTAGACTTTTTTACATTTTTACTGTATTATAAAAATTATAATTAATATCTTTTTCTTATAAGTAAAATCTTTAAACATATATTTTAGTCTGAAAGTCAGATCTGTTCTTGCTTATTAGTTCTCCCAGTCGAATTTATCTAATGCAAAAACGTATATGTGCCATAAAAAATATTTAAGAGTGATCACAAAAGTTAGTTTCGTCGCAAACTTTCAAAAATTTTTAGATCCGCATTCGGCAGCAACTCTTCAACGTATAACAAGTAACAGTTAGTTCGAA